TAACTAGAGAGAATAACACCCCAGACAACCAGCCAGCTAGCTAGCTAGCTAGACAGCCGATTAGCTAGCTAGCTGGCTAGACAGCCGATTAGCTAGCTAGCTGGCTAGATAGCCCATTAGCTAGCTAGCTAGCTAGCTGGGCACGTTGCGTATAAGATAAAAGGCATCAGACAGGAGGGGTCAACTTACCTGCATAATGTATTTCTGGTTTGTTGCAAAGCTCTTATTTACTTCTACATTTTATATTTACAGAAGAAACAGAATATGTGGTGGGCCACCAACCCGAGGTGTACGTACACTCCAGAGCCACGCTGTGGTCCTGAATTTACTTTCTTTGTATTTCATTTTTGCTTTTCCTGCGCTGCGGAGTTCAGACAACTGGTTTCAATTGTGGGCTCAATTTTTGAATGTATTTAATTGAATTGAATTTATTTCATTCTTTAATCAGAAATAAATCCTTTTTATTTCTTATTGAGGGGAAAAACGAAAAGGCGGGGCTGCTGGAGTGGCGCCGTCGAGGCACGGGCTCTGCCGCCTGCTGGCCAGAGGGCGTCTGAGAGCTTCTGAGCGGCTCTTCTGTTGAATTTATTTTGAAATCATTTGAATTAAATTAATTTAAATTTAAATTCTTTTCAAAAATTAAGAACGAAGACGGTTTGCAGCTGACAATCGAGATGTTGCTGCTGGTCAAGCCCCCAGCGCATGCGAAGACGCCGCCGCCTCCGCAGGCGGCCTGCTGCAGCAGCAGCAGCTGCTGCAGCTGTTGGGTCTCTGCAGCAGCAATTTGTCCATTTGTTGGATAAATCTACAGGGCAGCAGGCCGTCGCTGCTGCTGCATCGCCATTGTTGCTGCAGCTGCGGCAGCGGCTGCGGCTGCAGCAGCTGCAGCAACACAAGCTGCTGCAGCAGCAGCAGCAGCCGCTGCTGCTGCTGCAGCGCGCACACAGGTACTTCTCCCCCCCTATTTCTTAGCCAATGAGCTTTCCACCTTTTGCAGTTTCAGAGGGCTGGCCTATAGGGCCCCCTTTAAGGATTCCGTCTCCTGGGGGCCCCCCAAAGCCCACAGAAGCAGCAGCGGGTGGGGGGCCCCACACCCCGGGGGCCCCCCCCCCTGCAAGCTGCTCTCCAGGGATCTCCGTAGCTTCCTCCCCTTCTTCTGTTGGTGTTTCTGCTAAACAAGAGCAGCAGCAGCAGCAGCAGCAGCAGCAGCAGCGGAGGGGCCCGGAAGGTGCTGCTGCTGCTGCAGTAGCAGCAGCAGCAGCAGCCGCAAATACCGACACATTAGGAGTGGGCCCGATCGCAGCCCCCGTGCGCGCGGCAGCAGGATCTTCAGTAGCCGCAGCAGCAGCAGGTCCGACTTCATCTCTTTCAGCAGCAGCAGCAGCAGCAGCAGCAGCACCAGGAGCAGCAGCACCTGGAGCAGCAGCAAAACTAACTGCAGCAGTGCGCGAGGCAGCAGCTAAGGTCTTGGCCTCAGCAGCCCCCGCCAGTCCGAGCCCGCCTCGCCGCCCGTCGGCGGCTCCGCCCACAGCGCCAGCAGCAGCAGCAGCTGCTGCAGCAACAGCGCCAGCAGCAGCAGCAGCACCAGCCACAGCGCCAACAGCAGCAGCAGCAGCAGCAGCAGCAGCAGCAACAGCCCCCGCGCCCGAGTGGACCCCCGCCTCTCCGCCGCGGCTGTGGCGGTGGATCTTTGACTTCCTAGACAACCAAATAGCCGCAGCGCCAGCAGCAGCAGCAGTCGCCGGCCAGCAGCAAAGCGGGGATGGCGCAAAGCAGCAGCAGCAGCAGCAGCAGCAGCAGCAGCAGCAGCAGCAGCAGCAGCAGCAGCAGCAGCAGCAGCAGGCTGTGCAGCGCCCGCAAGCGCCGCTGGCAAAAGACCCGCAGGGCCCCCTAGCGCCCGCAGGCCCCCGGGGGCCCCCAGGGCCCACAGCCCCAGGGGCCCCACAGGGGCCCACACAGGGGCCCCTGGGGCCCCCAGCCCCACAGGGGCCCCTGGGGCCCCCAGCCCCACGGGGGCCCCTGGGGCCCCCCGCCCCACAGGGGCCCCTGGGGCCCCATTTGGCACTAGCCCGTGAGGGGCCCCTGGAGCCGCAGGTACTAGGGGGCCCCCCGGGGCCCCGAATGCCTCAGGTGCCCAGGGGGCCCCCGGGGCCTCCTGGTGGATCTGCGGAGATCGAGCAGCAGCAGCAGCAGCAGCAGCAGCAGCAGCAGCAGCAGGGGCTGTCTCTGAGCTCTGCGGCTGTTTTGCCGGGCGCAGCAGCTGCAACGGGAACGCCGGCAGCGAACAGCGACTCGACAGCTGCGACAGTGTCTGCTGCAGCAGCGCCTCCCGCTGCTGCCACTGCTCCAGCAGCAGCAGCAGCAGCAGCAGCAGCAGCAGCAGCAGCAGCAGCGCGCTCGCTGCTGCTGGACTGCGAGGCCCCCTCCAACCCAGGGGGCTCCTCCGCCAGCTGCAGCAGCGCAGACACCTCCAGCTCTTACTTTTCCTGGACCAGTGTGGGTACAGAAGCAGTGTGGGGCCCCACAGGGTCTTTGGGGGGGGCCCCCTGGGGGGCCCCCTGGGGGGCCCCCCTGGGGGCCCTTTTGGGGGCCCCCAGCGGCGGGCTGAACCCTGAAGCCGCCACTTTTGTGGGGCCCCCCGAGGGGGCCCCCCTGGCCTGGGAGCCTGCTGGGAGCAGTTCCGTGAGTGGGCAAGAGGGGCCCTTTGAGGGCCCCTTCGAGGGCCCCTTCGGGGGCCCCTTCGGGGGCCCCCCCGGGGGGCCCCCCGAGGGGCCCCCCGAGGGGGCCCCCGAGGGGGCCCCCGAGGGGGCCCCCGAGGGCCTCCTGGAGGTGGGCCTGGGCCTGGGCCTCGGCGCTGGCCGCCACGTGTCTGCTGCAGTTGTTATTGTGCTGCAGGTTGCTGCAGATTTGCTGCTGTCGGCGCAGCGGCGTTCCGAGCTGCTGCTGTGGCTGCAGAAGAGTCTCAAGTACAAACAGGCCAGCTTCGAGCTCGCCAGCCCCCAAGAGGGGCCCCCGGGGGCCCCCTGGGGGGCCCCCTGGGGGGCCCCCTGGGGGCCCCCCCTGGGGGGCCCCCCGGGGGCCCCCCTAGGGGGCCTCCAGGGGGCCCCTCAAGACATGAGGGGCCCCCAGGACAGCAGGAGCTCCCTAGATAGCTGGAGGGGCCCCTTGTCAGGGGGGCCCCCAGGGGGGGCCCCCCTGGGTACTGCCCCGAGCGACGCAGCTTCAAACCCCAGCAGCTCGACGGCCCAGAGCCTGCTGCTAACCGGAGACTCGGGAGACTGGCCCCCAGGGGCCCCCTGGGGCCCTGCGGGCGGGGGGGGCCCCCGGGGCCCCTGGTGTGCATCCGGGGGCCCCCCCCCGAGTGCGAAGCTGTGGACCTTAGCAGCATATGGCAGTCGACGCAGCCGGAGCTGCGGCTGTCGCGGCTTTGCCAAGACACGCTGCGGACTTTGCTGCAGCACTTGGAGGGGGAAGAGGGGCCCCCAGGGGCCCCAGGGGCAGGGGGGCCCCCCCTGGGGCTGGGGGGGGCCCCCCGGGACTTGGGGGGGGCCCCCCGGGAGTTGGGGGGGGCCCCCCGGGCGCTGGGCGGCCGCCTGGCTGCGGAGGACAGCAGCAGCAGCAGCGGCGGCAGCTTCAGCAAGCTGCTGCAGGGGCTCGAGAGGACGCAGCAGCTGCTGGAGCGGCAGCAGCAGCAGCTCGAAAGCGCTCTGGGGGAGTTCGGGGCCATCGAGGCCTCCTTTGCTGCTGCTGCTGCTGCTGCTGCTGCTGCAAACGCCCAGGCGCCAGCAGCAGCAGCAGCAGCAGCAGCAGTGTCGCCCAGAAAGAGCTTGCTCGGCCAGCCCAAGGGCCCCCTCATGCCCTGCCCCCCACAGTACCCAGGGGGCCCCCAGGGGGGCCCCCCTGGTGCAGCAGGGGGGCCCCCAAGCGGGGCTGGGGGGCCCCCCGAGTGCAGCAGGGCGGACGAGCTGAAGCAGCTGGTGCGGCGGACGCAGCAGGAGGTGTGGCAGCAGCAGCAGCAGCAGCAGGAAGCTCTGAATGCGCTCAACGGGCACCTTTCCGAAGCAAAGTGTCTGCTGCAGCGGCTTGATGCAGTGCAGCAGCAGCTGCAGCAGCGGGCCTGGCTGACGGGCTTTCAGCTGCGGGGGCCCCCGCTGGGGGGCCCCGAGCGGCCGCCGGCGCCGTGGGCGCCGTTCGGGTCTCTTGCTGCTGCTGCTGCTGCTGCGGCTCCGGGTGCAGCAGGAAGACGAAGTTGCTGCTATAAAGATGTGCTACAGAGACCTCGAGGAGCAGCTGGAGGACATGCAGCAGAGTCTGCACGCAATAGCCAGGGCCAAGGAAGAGGCAGCAGCAGCAGCAGCAGCAGCAGCGCCTGCTGCTGCTGCTGCTGCTGCTGCTGCTGCTGGCGTCGACCCTGCAGCTGCAGTCACCGACGACGAAGCCGCTTCGCCGCCCACGCCGCGGACGCCGGCAGCAGCAGCAGCAGCAGCGGCAGAAGCAGCAGCAGCAGCAGCAGCAGCAGCAGGCAAGGCGGAGGCCGGGGAGCTGACGCGCTGCTGCTCCCCTGCTGCTGCGCTGCTGCAGCCAGTCGAAGAGGGCCTCGCCCCCACAGAGGCCCCTGCAGCAGAACAGCCCGTGCTGCTGCTGCTGCGCAGCAAAACTCCCCGCATAGAAATTCGGCAGCGGCCCAGCTTTCAGCCGTACGTACACTGCAGAAGGGGGCCCCGGCCTTTGGTGCAGATCTTCACCACGCGGCACCTCATAATAGACGAGCAGTTCTTGCCTGCTGCTGCTGCTGCTGCTGCAGCACCTGCAGCAGCAGCAGCAGCAGCAGCAGCAGCGGCGGGCGCGCCTGCTGCTGCAGAGGGAGGCCAGGCAGCAGAGCCGCAGGCGCAGCCCCAGCGGGGCTCTGCTGCTGCTGGCGGGGGGCCCCCGCAGCAGCTGCAGCCGCGGGTGGTGGTCTTCACTCCGCGCGAAGAGGGGCCCCCCCCGCCGGGCCTGGGGGGCCCCCCCTGCAGCTGCTGAGCAGAGCAGCAGACAGCGACCGCTCCGTGTGGAGGCCCTACATCTCCGTAGAGTCCACTGAGGACTGGCAGCCCGAGGTGTGCCTGGGGCCCTGGACCTCCGAGGTGACCAGTGGTCACCCCAGTGGTCACATAGTAATTCAGGGGCTGCAGAGGCCCGCGCTGGAGGAGCGGGCCGCCTGGGGCCCCCCCAGCGCGGCCCCCGCCTGAGGCTTGACTTTATTTCATACTTTCCGTCTTTACTTCTTTTTATTTCGTACTTGTGAAAAAAGTGACCCTCTGGTGCTTTCTGCACACTGGGGGGCCCCCCTGGGGCATAGGGGCCCCCGAGGGGCCCCGGAGGGGCCCCCGAGGGGCCCCTGGGCTGGGAGAAGTGCAAAGAGCTGCACAGAAATGCTTCTTAGCAAATCAAAAGCTCTAATAGTTCCAAAAATTAGAAACTCTGCACTCTATGGACAGGGCCAGGGGCCCCACAGAGCCAAACAAAAACACAAAAATGCCTTTTCCTCTAAAGGGCCCTCCATACCTCCCAAGAATTAAAATCTGGAGGCCCCAGGGGGGCCCCGGGGCCCCCTGAGGCCTCGGGGCCCCCCTGGGGGCTGGGGGGCCCCCTGAGCCTGTGGGCCTCCTGGGGCCCTCGGGGCCCCCTGGGGCCTCGGGGGCACCCCGGCGCCTCGGGGGCCCCCCGGGGCATCGGGGGCCCCCTGGGGCCTCGGGGGCCCCCCGGGGTCTTGGGGGCCCCCCGGGGCCTCGGGGGCCCCCTGGGGCCTCGGGATTAGAAGGTGTATTTGGACGAATTTCGGGATTTTGGATTTCATTTTTGGTGCTAAATGGCAAATGCAGATGAAGGCCTCGAGCTGGAGATATGCATGCGGGTCATTTGAACAAAAAAAGAAAAACAAAATTAAAAAAAAAAGAAAATTGATGAAAGATTTTCACGCGAGTAGCAGCACAGCGTCCTGCTCACAGATCTTTTTAGACGCGCAGATGAAATTAATTTCTGAATTTGAAAATGCGAATTTTGAGTGCATAAATGTCTTCCTGTTGCGGTGTACGTACACTCCATGTTATGTGTGCGAAGGCAAGTACATTTTGAAGGCCATTTGCCTTTGTTTTAATTAAGTTCTTTTCTTGCTGCAGCCCTGCTGTTGCTGCTGCTGCTGCTGCTGCTGCTGCTTCTGTTGCTGTTGATTTTGCTGTCTGCAGCGGCTTGCTGCTGAGCCGTCCTTTCGCTTTATTCTGTTTTTTTTTAATTTTAATTTGGATTCTTTCGATTTATTTTCTAATTTAAATTCATCTTCATTTATTTTTGTTTGCTTTTACTTCCCATTATTCGCCTCCCAGCTCCGACTACACCTCGTGCGCCTGTCCGCAGTGTTGCCTGTAGCTGCTCCTCCTTACAATTAATTTATTCATTTCCATTTGCTTTACTTTTATTTATTTTTAATTTAATAAGTTTTTCATTTAGTTTTATTCATTTCTAATTTAATCAGTTTTATCATTTGTCTTATCTCCTCGTGGCCACGAGGAACCCTTTAGCAGTCTTGACTGACGTTTGCACCGCCTGCTGCTGCTGCGCCCAGCAGCAGCAAAACATATGCGCACTCTAACTCTCGCTGCCTCGTAGCAGCAGCAGCAGCAGCAGCTGCTGCTGCTGCCGCTCCTGTAGCTGCTGCAGCAGCGGCAGGAGCAACTCTAAGTTGTCGCAGCAGGCTTGCTGCTGAAGCAGCAGCAACTCTAAAGCGCCGCGGCACCTTCTGCTGCAGCACTAATAGCCTGCTGCAGCAGCACCTGCAGCTGCACTTTCGCTTCAGCGCTTGCTGCAGCTGCAGCTGCTCTGCTGCTAATGCTTTCACAGAAGCAGAGGGTTCTGCTGTTGCAGCAAGCACAGCTGCAGCAAGTGCAGCAGCAGCAAGTGCAGCAGACCTCGCGGTCACGGCTGCTTAATGGGGGGCTGTAGGAACAGCGAAGAAAGCTGCAGCAGCAAGCGCTGCAACAAGAAAAGCAGTGGCGACAGCTGCAGCAGCAACTGCAGCAGCAGCTAAAACTCCGTTGCAGACACCAGAGAGGCCAAGAAGGCCCGTGCTGCTGCCTCCCCTAGGCAGCTCCTGCGGAACGCAGCAGCGCAGCAGCAGCAAAAACTAAAATTGACGCAAAAACAACAGAATCTACGGCGAAGGCCAGCAGCAGCAGCAGCAGCAACAGCAGCAGCAGCAGCAGCAGCAGGGCAGCAGTGCAACACTAGAGACAGTGGCAGAGAGGCTCGCGTATATCGGCAGACACAGCAGCAGCAAAACAGCAGCAGCAGCAGCAGCAGCAGCAGCAAAAAGGGACTTCGAGGCGAACGGACATGGCTTGGGTGGTGATTGTGGCAGCCCATGCGGGGCACTGTCTCGCTTGCTGCAGCAGGCAGCGGATCAGAGGCCGCAGCCGCTGCTGCTGCTGCTGCTGCTGCTGCTGCTGCTGCTGCTGCTGGTCTGTTGCTTCGTCAGAGTTCTTCGCCAGCAAAGACACCAACGCCTCCGTCACCATACACAGAAAACGCGTTATCACTTTCCTGCAGCAGCAGCAGCAGCAGCAGCAGCAGCAGCAGCAACACCGCTAAACTTGCAGCCCTTGACGTAGACGACAGGCTACCTAGACTCTTTGCTCCAAGCCACAAACCCTAAACCCTAAACCCTAAACCCTAAACCCTAATCTCTCACATTTGTCCAGGGTTTGCAGTACCCTCAGCGCGAGGAAGGTGAATTGTTAGGAGCGCAAGAAGACAGGCTCCGCTCTGCAGCAACAACAGCAACAGCAGCAGCAGCAGCAGCAGCAGCAACCCAGCACGTCTTCAGTCCAAAAGATAACACATTCATTAACAGCAGCTGCAGCAGCAGCAGCAGCAGCAGTGCACAGCGGCAGCACTTCATACACGTATCAGTCCGCCGCAAAGCGCACCCACAACCTCCAGCAGCAGCAATAACAGCAGCAGCAATAGCAGCAGCAGCAGCAGCAACAGCAGCAGCAACAGTAACTCACCATGTGGGCCGCCATGGCGACCAGCGAGGCCTGCTGCTGCTGCTGCTGCTGCTGCTGCTGCTGCTGCTGCAGGCCCCAGTCGAGCACATCTAAGAAGCTGCACAAGACAGCTGTGCGGGAAGGCCCCGCAGCCCTTAAGACCCTGAGGACCCCCAGCAGCAAGAAGCAGCAAGTGCTGCTGCGCTCGTGGCCCCCCTGCTGCTGCTGCAGCAGCAAACTGAGCAGGCTGTTCTTGGGCAGCGCAGCAAGTGCTGCTGCTGCTGTCCCCGTCGACCGCATCACCTCCTCGAACAGCCGCAGGCTGCAGTCGTCCGCAGCAGCAGCTGCTGCTGCTGCTGCAGGGGCTCCTGCTGCTGCTGCTGCTGCTGCTGGAGCCCCTGAGGCCCCTTCTATTGCTGCTGCTGCTGCTGCTGCGGAGGGTCCTGCTGCTGCTGCTGCTAGGACAGCGTCCGCGTCTGCAAAGACCTCAAGGAGGGCCTCGGGGCACAGCAGCAGCCCCTGCAGCAGCAAAGAGGTGCAGGCGTCGGTGAGCATGGGCAGCAGCAGCAGCAGCAGCCGCAGGCCCTTGCTGCTGCTGCTGACACTGCTGATGAGCCACTTGGTGCTGCTGCGGCCCTCTGTAACAAGGCTGCTCAGGCCCGGCGGAAGCGCCCCAAGGAACCCTTCTTCCTGCTGCTCCTGCTGCTGCTCCTGCTGCTGCTGCTGCTGCTGCTGCTGCAGCCGCAGGTAGTGCTGCCGCAGCCGCGAGACATACGCAGCAGCAGAGGGGCAAATTGCTGGGGCCCAAAAGTCCAGCAGGAAGGGCATTGGCAGCGGCAAAGAAGTGCAGCAGTGCCGCAGCAGCAGCAGCTCTGCTGCCTGCAGCAGCGTGTGCTGCAGCTGCTGCTGCAGTTGTCCCCGAGCAGCAACGTGGCTCGCTGGACACTCCTGCAGCACCCGCAGCAGCAGCAGCATCAGCAGCAGCTGAGCTGCAACAAGCCAAGCTTTGCGGGCACAAGAGGCCCGAGTTCCAAACCCTAAACCCTAAACCCTAAACCCTAAACCCTAAACCCTCACTAACCTCCAGCTCCCCTTGAAGCGCTGCTGCAGCAAGTCTAATGTCGTGGCAGTCCTCTATGATGGAGTTCAGAGCCAAAGAGCGCTGCAGCAGCGACAGCCCGGGGGCCCCGAGGGCCAACTGCAGCAAACCAGCAGCAGCAGCAGCAGCAGCAGCAGCAACGCTTGCAGCAGAAGCAGCAGGAGAAGCAGCAGCAACAACGCTCGCAGCAGAAGCAACAGAAGCAGCAGCAGCCGACGAGGCGACGAAAAGCAGCAACGACATGCGCCTCTGCAACGCAGCAAACCCCTTAACAGCAGCAGCAGCAGCAGCAGCAGCAGCAGCAGCAGCAGCACGAACCTGTCTAACGAAATCTTGGCCGGGGTGCTTGCTGCGCGCAGCAGCAGCTAAAGTGCTGCCTGCTGCTTTGGGGCCCTCAGGGGGGCCCCCAGGGGGCCCCTCCTCTTGGGGGGGCCCCCTGTCAATATGAATAATGTTTCTGGGGTGCCTAATGGAGGCATAGGCGACTCTGCCAAATTTCTTGTGGACCCCGCTGCTGCTGCTGCTGCTGCTGCTGCTGCTGCTGCTGCTGCTGGGTGTGGCGCTGGCTGCGGCGTTGCTGCTGCTGCTGCTGCCGCTCGCGCCGGAGTCGGCCGTGGCCTCCGCGTCCGGGGACGTTGCGTCCGCAGCAGCCTGCTGCTGCTGCTGCTGCTGCTGCTGCTGCTGCTGCACAGGTGGCTGCAGGCTTGCTGCTGCTTCTGCTGCTGAGAGAGAGCCCAGAAGCCGCTGGTGCATGGCTGAAGAGCTGACTAGGAGGCCCGGCGTGTTGCTGCTGTCCCAGGCTGCTGCTGCTGCTGCTGCTGCTGCTGCTGCAGCAGGAGCAGCAGCAGCCGCCGCGGCCGCGAGGAGGCCCCCCTCGCCGTGCGCGCGGGCGAGCTGCTGGCGCACCTCCGCCTCCAGCTCGCAGCAGCTCCTGCTGCTGCTGCTGCTGCTGCTGCTGCTGCTGCTGCTCTCCTTCTTAGAACCCCACAAACACTTGAAATTCCAACGCCCTGTGTACCGCTGCAGCTCCGGCCGCCGCGAAGTCTGGGCCAGCTGCACCCTAAGGATGACATCGAGGTCGTGCGCAGTCATGAACCCGCTCCCGCTGCTGCTGCTGCTGCTGCTGCTGCTGCTGCTGCTGCTGCTGCTGCTGCTGCTGGTGGCGCTGCTGCTGCCGCTGCCAGCGGCGCTGGTGCTGCTCGCCGTCGGCGGCGGCGTCGTCGACGCCGGGCTGCTGCTGCTCGGGCTGTGCAGGGCCGCCGCGCCGGGGCTGCTGCTGCTGCTGCTGCTGGGCGAGTTAGCAGCAGCAGCAGCAGCAGCAGCAGCAGCAGGGGGGCCCGTGAGGCCCTCCGGCAGCGAACCAAACCAGCGAGTTGCGTCGCTGATTTTGTTTTTAATAATGTAGTCTACTAGAGCTCGGGTCTGCGGGAAAATGGGGGGAGGCCAAATGCTGCTGCTGCTGCTGCTGCTGCTGCTGCTGTTGCTGCTGCGTTCGTTTGCGCTGCTCGGAGACACGCCGTGCTCAACTGCCTTGCTGCCTGTCTTGCTGCTGCTGCTGCTGCTGAGAGCTGCAGCGTCCTGCTGCTTCGGGTGGCGTCGTCCCTTCTCTTGCTGCTGCTGTTGCTGCTGTTGTTGCTGCTGCTTGCGCCTCTGCTGCTGCGTTGGCGGCTGCTGCCCCCGCACACGCTGCTGCTGCTGCTGCTGCTGCTCCCCGTTGCTGCTGCTCTCACCCAGCAGCCAGCCGTGAGCTGCCCCAGCATTCCGGCTTCCTTCAGCACCTCTATGGGCTCCCATTGAGCCTCTTCGTTGCTGCTGCTGCTGCTGCTGCTGCTGCTGTTGCTGCTGCTGCTGCAGCTCCTGTTTTGGTGTGTAGTTGCTTGTCGCGTTCTCTCTCTCGAAGCCACTTAGCCATTGCTGCTGCTGCTGCTGCTGCCGCTGTTGCTGCTGTAGCAGCTGCTGCTCCAGCGCCTCGTGCTGCAGCACAGGGTCTTGCTGCGGCTGCTGCTGCTGGGGAGCTGCTGCTGCACCGCCCCCAAGGCTGCCGAGGGCACCGTGCCGCTGCTTCTGTTGCAGCAGCAGCAGCTGCTGCACTTGCTGCTGCTGCTGCTGCTGCTGCTGGTCGAGAAGGGATTTGTTCCACAGATCATCTGGGTTGTCCCAGCCCGGCGGGGGAGGCGCAGCAGCAGCAGCAGCACTTTGCTGCAGCTGCTGCAGTTGCGCCTGAACCTCTGCACCCTGTGCAGCAGCACGAAGACCCACAGCAGCAGCAGCAGCAGCAGCAGCAGCAGGGTAATCTCCTTGCGGCGTCTCCAGCAGGTCCGAGCCAGCCCCCCCGCTGCTGCTGCGCTGCCACTGAAGGGGGGCCCCCACAGGGGCCCCCACGGGGGCCCCCACGGGGGCCCCCATAGGGGCCCCCATGGGGGCCCCCATGGGGGCCCCCACAGGGGGCCCCCCGCCTCCGGAGTCAGTGATGAGGACCGCTGGGTCTCTGCTGAGAGCCGCTGCTGCTGCTGCTGCTGCTGCCTGCCGCTGCTGCTGCTGCTGCTGCAGTGAAACGCCGTCAAAACCTGGCGGAGGGTAATGCATTTTGCTGCTGAGCCCCGCGAGCAAAGAATGAAGAGGGGGGCCCCCGGGGGGCCCCTCAGGGGGGCCCCCCGGGGAGAGGCAGCGGCCCTGCCCGTGAGGCAGCAGAGTGTCTGCTGCTGCTGCTGCTGCTGCTGCTGCTGCTGCTGCTGTTGCTGCTGAGTTGCTGACGCGCTGCTGGTGGTACGCGTGCTGCTGAAGCTGCTGCAGTTCCTGCCGCTGAAGCTGCCTCAGCTGCTGCTGCTGCAGGTGCTGCTGTTCCAGCTGCTGCTGCTGCTGCTTCAAGTGCTGCTGCTCCAACTGCTGCTGCTGCTGCAGGTGCTGCTGCTGCTGCTGCTGCAGGTCCTGCAGGTGCATCGTGGAGGCGAAAGGGTCGCCCGCAGCGCCTGAATGGAGGGCGCCAAACTCGCTGTTGCTGCTGCTGCTGCTGCTGCCAGCAGCAGCAGCAGCAGCAGCAGCAGGCAGCTCCGGCTCCAGCGACTCCAGCAGCACTTCCACAGGCTGCCCTCTGATGTCAGTGCTGAAGAAGGCCGGCAGCTCTGTGACCTGCAAGGAAGCAGCAGCAAACTAGACAAGCTAGCCAAATGCTGCTGCTGCTGCTGCTGCTGCTGCAGCTGCTGCTGCTGCTTTACTGCAGCAGCAGCAAGGATTCGCGCAGCGGAGTGCCGGTAGCGGGGGCAAGAAAGCCCTTCAGCTGGCAGCAGCAAAAGCCGCAGCAACGCCAGCGCACATTCAGCAGCGGCAGCAGCAGAAGAGGCAGCAGCAGCAACAGCAGCAGCAGCAGCAAGAGCAGCAGCAGCAGCAGCAGCAGAAGTGGTCCTTACCTGGTTTGGAGGTTCATTCCTTTTGTGGAGGCCGGCTGGAGAGCCAAACCTGTCATGCTGCTGCTGCACGTCCTGCTGCTGCAGCCGCCGTTGCTGCTGTTGCTGCTGCTGTTGCTGCAGCTGCTGCTGCTGCTTCTGTAACTCGAACTCCTTGTACTGCGCCTCGTCGGGCTCCCAGTCGTCTCCTGAAGCAGCAGCAGCAGCAGCAGCAGCAGCAGCAGCAGCAAACGCCGAAACAAAAAATTATGAAGGAAGCAGCAGCAGCTGCAGAGCAGCAGCACAAGGAAACGACAGCAGCAACACGGAGAAACAAAAGGCGTCCTCTACCAGCTGCTGCAAGGCCCAGCTGCCACAGCGAATTTTGCTGCTGCTGCTGCTGCTGCTGCTGCTGCTGCTGCTGCTGCTGCAGCTCACCGACGGGAATGTCGAAGTCAAATGTCTCGGCATTGTGCGCGTCTGCTGCTGCATCCATTTTGCTGTCAGCACCCCACGAGTGCTCTGAGTGGGCCTCTGTACCCCCCAGGGGGGCCCCCCAAGGGGCCCCCAGCCCCCGGGGGCCCCCGGGGCCCCCGGGGGCCCCCGGGGATCCCAGCGGCCTCCTAGAGCGCTGCCCTAGGGGCCCCCGGGGCCCCTGGGGCCTCCCTCTGCTGCTGGGTCGCTTCATCCGCCTGCGGCTGGCCTTTTGCTGCAGCAGCTGCAGCAGCTCATCGTACGGAGGGGCGGGCTGCTGCTGCAGGTGTATCAACAGCCCGCGGGGAAGAAGGGAAGGCCGGGAGCAGCAAACCGCGGCGCTGCAGCCGGGGGCGCCGCTGCAGCTGCAGCAGAAGCTGCAGCAGCAGCTGCAGCAGCAGCTGCAGCGGCAGCTGCAGCGGCAGGAAAGCCAGCGGCGCCCACCCTGGCACGCAGGCCGAGGCCCCGCGCTTAGAAGAAGCAGCAGCAGAGCTAAAAAGAAGTAATTTAAGTGGATAATAAAGCGAGAGAAATCCAATTAACTGCTTCCGCTTGCCCGTTTCCCTGCGTCGCTGCCTTCTGGCGCCCCGGCGCGCAGCGCTGGGGGCCGCAGCAGCAGCAGCAGCAGCAGCCGTCAGGTGTACAGACAGTGTCTGCTCTGCGGCTAATTAATAAAACAAAAACAAGAAACGTTTCACCTAACAGTGCTGTTGCGCATCGTAGGGACCCGCAGCATCATTGCACGCTATGCTTTGCTGCTGCTGCTGCCGCTGCTGCTGCTCGGGCTGGCAGCGCGAGGGCTGTCTGGCAGCTGCATGCAGCAAACGGCAACAGCAGCAAACCCCGGCCTTTCTATTTATGAATTTTATTTGTTTTTACTTGCACACAATCAACTCCTCAAAGACCTGCAAGTTGCGCCGCAGGCGGCCGCCGCCTGCAGCTCTCGCCGCGGCGTTTGCAGGCGAGCAGCAGCAGCAGCAGCAGCAGCAGCAGCAGCAGCGGCAGAGAAGAGGACAGGCTCTGCTGCTATTCAAATTTTCTGAGGCGGCTCTCTTTCCGAGGGCGGCAATTGCATTGCAAAGCGACCGGAACAGCAGCAGCCGTGCTGCTGCTGCTGTTGCTGCTGCTGCAGCTGCAGCTGCTCTTGCCATGCTTGCTGCTGCGTGAACGCTCCTTCTGGGCCGCCTAACGGCACCGCTGATGGACTTGCTGCCGGCACTGCTGCTGATCTTGCTGCTGCTGCTGCTGGCATTGCTGCTGCTGCTGCTGACCGTGATGTTGCTGCTGCTGTTCTCATTGCAGCTGCAGCAACCAGCATTGCAGCGATTGCCTGCAGATTCCGGAGCCATCCACAGCTCCTAGCTGCACCTAGCTGCAGGAAGCAGCAATTAGCTGCAGCAGCAGCAATTAGCTGCAGCAGCAGCAATTAGCTGCAGCAGCAGCAATTAGCTGCAGCAGCAGCAATTAGCCTCAGCAGCAGCAATTAGCCGCAGCAGCAGCAATTAGCTGCAGCAGCAGCAATTAGCTGCAGCAGCAACAGCAATTAGCAGCAGCAGCAGCAGCAATTAGCAGCAGCAGCAGCAGCAATTAGCTGCAGCAGCAGCAGCTAGCTCCAGTCGCAGCTAGCTGCGGCTAGCGCCTCAAGGAGCTGCCGGGCATATGAAGTACGCGAGATTGGCAGATCTGCCAGGCTGCTGCTGCTGCTGCTGTTGCTGCTGCTGCTGCGCCAGCAGCAATAGCAGCAGCAGCAGCAGCAGCAGCTCTTGGCGACCGTTAGGCTTTCCGTATTGTTTCTTGCTGCTGCAGCAGCAAAGGAAGGCCGCGCTGCTGCTTCTGCAGCAGAAAGCAGCAGACACAGCAGCTAGGCAGAAACTCTAAACCCTAAACCCTAAACCCTAAACCCTCGATAGGGAGCTCGCGTTGCGCTGAGCTGCTTCAGGCCTGGCCAGCTGCTGCTGCCAGCAGCTGCTGCCACTAGCTGCTGCTGCCACTTGCTGCTGCCAGCTGCTGCTGCAGCTTGCTGCTGCAGCTGCTGCAGCTAGCCAACAAGCAAAAGATCCCGTGAGAGCAGCAGCTGCTCGCTGCGGCCTAAGAACTGGAGCAGCAACAGCAACACCGAAAAACGCCGCTGGAGCAGCAGCAGCAGCAGCAACAGCAGCAGCAGCAGCAGCAACAGCAGCAGCAGCAACAGCAGCAGCAGCAACAGCAGCAGCAGCAACAGCAGCAGCAGCAACAGCAAGGAAGCAAAAGACATGTAAGCAAACCAGAAGAAACAAAAAATGTAAATTTAAATAAATAAAACCTTTTTAGCTGCTGCGGAATATATCTGACAAGCAGCAGCAAAAGGGAACTCTCGAGCTCAGTGCCCGCTTTGCTGCCCGCTGCAGCAGCAGCACCTGCAGCAGCAGCCTGTAACAGCAGCAGGACGAACTGCAGCAACAACTTCCGCAGCAGCAGCAGCCCAAGCAGCTGCGGCGGCGCGAACAATCAGCAGCAGCAGCAGCAGCAGCAGCAGCAGCGTAGAAAGCAGCACAAGCAGCAACAGCAGCGCCTGAGACAGCAGCAGCAGCACCCAGAGAAGCAGCACCTATGATCTCAGCGATAATAGCACACTGCAGCACCGGAACGAATAGCAGCAGCAGCAGCAGCAGCAGCAGCTGCTGCTGCTGCTGCTGTTGCTGCTGCACCCACGGGAGTTCCAGGCGAAGTGGCTACTTCTCTGCGAGAAGCAAGCAGCAGGAGGTTAGTACAGAACTGAGCAGCACCAAATGCAGCAGCTGCTGCAGCAGCTGCTGCTGCAGCTGCTGCAGCAGCAGCTGCAGCAGCAGCACCTGCTGCAGTAGCGGCAACTGCTGCAGCAAGTGATGCAGCGCCTGCTGCAGCAGCAGCCCTCTTGCTGCTGATGAATCATGTCTTGGGTCCCATAGCCATTCTCAGAGCAAGGATAACAACTAAGAGTTGCGTGGGGCACCTCCAGCAGCCGCCAGGCCTCAGGCCCTACAGGATACATCATAAGACACTATGGACCCAGACGCGCAGCAGCTGCTGCAAAGGATGCAACACCGCAGCAGCAACCACTCCCCACACTCGACGCAGCAGCAGCAGCAGCAGCAGCAGCAGCAGCAGCAGCGCGGCCACAGGGAATGCAGACTGCATAAGACACAACTGATTATGCACAAAACACGCTCTCGTGAGGACAAAAAAACCAACTTGAGGATCAAAACGCCAGCACAGCAGCAGCAGCAGCAGCAGCAGCACTCTGCTCCAGCAGCATCACGCAGCAGCAGCAAAACCAGGAGCAGCACGAAAAGCAGCAGCAGCAACAGCAACACCAACACTTCGAACGGAGAAAGAAAAAAGACAAAAGAAACAAAGAGCATTTCTGTGATGCAGATGCTGCTCCTACCCCACTGCAGATGCTGCTGCTGCTGCTACAGGTTGTGAATCAGGGGCTGCTGCTGCTGCTGCTGCTGCTGCTGCTGCTGCCGCTGCTGGGTCATTGACACCGGGTGCTCAAGACAGCCGCGGGAGCAGCAGCAGATCCTGGCGCTCCGGAGTTGCTGGTTAATTTCATTGTTTGCTTCTTTATTTGTGTTTCATTTTTTGTGTTGCTGCTGCGGTGTTGCAGCTGCAACCTTAGGAAGACAGTAGCAGCAGCAGCAGCAACAGCAGCAGCAGCAGCAGCTGCTGCTGCTGCGGTTCCTGCGTCACCGGCGGCTCCCGTTCTTCCTGCTGTTCCTGGAGCCCAACTTTCTGCACATATGCTGCAACGGGAGCCGACTTCGCAGCAGCAGCAGTAACAACAGCAGCAGCAGCGGCGATTCCTGCTGCTGCAGCAGCAGCAGCAGCAGCTAGCGGCGCCGAGGCTCTGCAGCCACACACCTGCAGCAGCCTGCAGCTAAAAGGCCCTTAGGAACAGGTGTACTTGCTGTCCCATTATCTCTGCTGCCGTTGCTGCTGCTGTTGCTGTTGTTGCTGCCGCGTTGCTGCTGCTGTTGCTGCAGTCACGTCTGCCAACCTTCCCTCTGCAGCAGCAGCGGCAGTGTCAGCAGGAGCAGCCTAAGGAGGAGCAGCAGCGAAGCAGCATCAGCTGCTGCCCGGGCCTCAGCAGCAGCAGGCGCAGCAGCAGCAGCAACGCCGCCGCAGCCCAGCAGCAGCAGCAGCAGCAGCAGCAGCAGCAGCAGCAGCAGCAGCAGCAGCAGGGGGCAATGGGCTCCGTAGCCTCGGGGCCCTTGGCGCCCGCAGACGTGGGGGCCCTCACCCCCGCCTGCCGCGAGCGGCTGCTGGAGCAGCAGGGGATTGCTGCAGCAGCAGCAGGAGGTCCTGCTGCTGCTGCTCTGGTGGTGCAGCAGCTGCTGGGGATGGGGGAGGAGGGCGACGGCCGTGCTGCGCTGTACAACTTCTTTGCTGGCAGCAGGTGGGCTGCTGCGCTGCAGCAGCCGCCAGATGCAGCAGCAGCAGCAGCAGCAGCAGCAGCAGACCCCCAGCTGCTGCAGCGCGAGCAGGAAGCCCTGCAGCGGCTCGCGCGGCAGCAGCAGGAAGAAGAAGAGCTGGACGCGCTGTGCGCAGCAGCAGCAGCAGCAGCAGTCAGCTCCCCAGAAGCAGCAGCAGCGCTCAAGCTGCCAGCAGCAGCAGCAGAAGTTCCAGAGGCGCAGGTAGCGTACGTTCAACCCACAGGGACACTAACAGCAGCAGCAGCAGCAGCAGCAGCTGCTGCTGCTGCTGCTGCTGACGCAACGGGGCCCCGCCGCGTCTGCTCTGGCTGCCTGCAGCAGCAGCAGGCGCTGCAGGTAGCAGCAGCACCTGCTGCGCTGCTAGCGGAGGGGCCCCACGGCAGCGAGGCCCCCAACGTGTTAGGTTTGGTCTATGATGGGCCCCCCAGCAGCAGCAGCAGCAGCAGCAGCAGCAGCAGCAGCAGGAGCGTTGGGGAGTTGAAGGAGCAGCAGAAGCAGCAGCAGCAGCACAGCGGCAGCAGCAACTCGACCGCCACCCCCCTGGGCCTCAGCAGGAGCTGCAGCAAGGCCTCACTGGCCTCCAGCAGCAGCGCAGCAACGGACGGCGAAGAGGAGCAGCAGCTGCTGCAGCAACTGCTGCAGCAGCAGCTGCAGCAGCATGCAGCAGCAGCAGCGCCCCTCCACGGCGCCGTAGTGTACGAGGTGCCGAGACACCGCAGGGGCGGGCCTCGCCAGCGCAGCAAAAAGCACCCGAAGCAGTCCAGGAAGCAGCAGCAGCAGCAGCAGCAGCAGCAGCAGCAGCAGGAAGAACAGCCCGGCAGCGGACGCAGGGTGGTGGTCTCCGCAGAGCGCCTGCAGCGCTGCAGCCCGCAGCAGCAGCAGCAGCAGCACCAGCAGCAGCAGCAGCAGCAGCAGCAGCGCGAGGCCTCCCCGCCTCCTGCCACCCTGCGCATGGACTCGCAGCAACTCAGCTTCGATGAGGCCCACTTCGACTTCTTGGCTTCCAAGCCGGTCCCACAGCAGCAGCAGCAGCAGCAGCAGCAACAGCAGCAGCAGCAGCAGCAGCTGCAGCGGCAGCGCAGCAGCAGCAGCAGCAGCTACTTCAGGACCTCCACCTTTCAGCGCACAGCGCAGTCGTGGGTGCCGCATGCTGCTGCTGCTGTCGGCGCTGTGCGCGAGAAGCACCGCAGCGGGGAGCAGCAGCAGCAGCAGCAGCAGCAGCAGCAGCAGCAGCAGCAAAAGGAAGGCCCTGCAAATTGGTGGATGGACATACAGAAGACCTTCTCGAGCATATTCACCCCGGGTCAGGAGAACGGTGGTGCTGCTGCTGCTGCTGCATCTGCAGCAACAGCAGCAGCAGGAGGCAACGAGCAGCAGCAACTGCATGCTGCAGCGGCAGGTGCGGCTTTTTCCGCGCAGCAGCAGGCGCCCACAGCAGCAACAAAAGCAGCAGCAGCAGCAACAGCAGCAGCAGCAGCAGCAGCAGCAGCCGGAGCACTAAAAATTGTGTTTCCCAGTGTCTTTGCTGCTCTGCTGCATCCGTAGGCGCATCAGCAGGAGCTGCAGCCACAGCAGCAGCAGCAGCAGCAGCAGCAGCAGCAGCAGCAGCGCCGCTGCTGAAGGCCCCTCTCGGCTTCTCTTTCTCCCCTGCGGGCCTCTTAGCCCCATATCACTTTGGAGTTTTGAGTTTCCTTTGCGAAGCAAATGTAGTGAACCAATACACTCCCCTTGCAGGTAATCTGCTGCTGCTGCTGCTGCTGCTGCTGCTGCTGCTGCTGCTGCTACAGGTCCTAGTGCCGCTTCTGCAGGCCTTGTTGTTGCAGCTGCTGCTGCTGCTGCTGCTGCCGTAGCGATGGCTGTGCACTGTAGCTTCTAAGGGTCAGAATGCTGCTGCAAGCAGCTGTTGAATGCTGCTGCAGCAGTTGCTGTTGCTGCTGCTGCACTGTGAGCCCCTCCCCGTCTGCCCCGCGCCTGCTGCACAAGCTGCTGTTGCTGTTGCTGTTGCTGCTGCTGCTGCTGCTGCAGGAGCCTCGGCGGGGGCTTTAGCTGCTGTTTTGGGGGGTCTGCGTCTTCGCTTTTCGACTTCCATTTCTTCAATGAAGAGAATGGGTGCGGACCTGAGAGCAGCAGGTGCGTCCCAGCTCTTGCTGCTGCTGCTGCTGCTGCTGCTGCTGCTGCTGCAGTTGCTTGAGTGCTGCATGCAGCGGCAAGCGAGTAGCCTTCGCCGGGGATCGCCTGGGATCGCCTGGAATCGCCTTGCCTAATGCCCTTCCCCGCTTCTGCTGCTGCTTCTGCTGCTGCTGCTGCTGCTGCTGCTGCTGCTGCTGCTGCTGCTGTTAGGCACTGCACACCGGCTGGCGTCAGTGCTGAAGCGGGAGCTGCGGGCGACGCTGCCGGAAGACGCCGCCGAAGTTCTGGGCCAGCGTCCCGGAGATGTGACAGTAACCTACACCACCGTAAGCCGCAGCAGCAGCAGCAGCAGCAGCAGCAGCACCCACAGCAGCAGCAGCAGCAGCAGCAGCCACAGCCACAGCAGCCCCAGCAGCAGCAGCACAGCAAGCCCCCT